AGAGCGAACGGCGACCTCCGTCCACTTCGGGATCTCGTGGACGAGTGCAACCATCGACGCGAACGGACTTGGTGCGTCGCCAGGAAAATTGCACGCTCCTCCTTGTGACGTTGTTATTGCCAGCGACTGACCGACCAATCGGCGCTCCTGCGTGGGAGGAAGGAAGATAGGGCGAGCAGGACGGACAGGGACAGGGAGACGACGACCGACAGAGAGCGAGGGAGAGCGAGAGAGAACGAGAGAAAGGGACGGAGAAGGGAAAGGAGAGATAGGTGGAGCGAGAAGAAACCCGATTGGTCTTGTTCCAGGAGGATACGTCGCGTAGCCATAGAGACTCCCGAGCTCAAACGACTTTGGAGCACACGGGAAGGGGTTCTGATAACCGCGGCTAGAAAAGAAATCGAATTAGGAGCGGATCGAAAAATCATTTCGCTCTTTCTGCGAACAATCTCGATATTTTGAACGACTTTGATCGAACTTGTGAATTTCATTGAATTCGCGATCGAGTCTCGCGGTCGTAGAAGTCTTAAAATTTTCCTCGAGGGTCGAGGCGCTTGATGCGAGCGGAGTCGGTAGTCCCTTTCCCCTCGTATCTCGTGGCATCGACGGTGGGCACGATCGCGAAGCAACAAGTGTTACCAGCTCTTCGGCGTCGCCCCGCCCCCAACTAGCAGCCGCTGCGTCGGAGCGATCGGTGGAAACTGCCCTGAGGCGATGCAACCACCTCACTCGAGCGCCGATCGCGCGAGCAACTAGAAATCCTCGGCACCGGCCTCTCGCGCGCGAGCCTTTAGACTTTGCTGGAAAACGAGGTGTTTTCGTGCGGCCAAGATAAGAACGTCGCGTGCGCAAGCTTCGTACAGTGATTAACGTTTCCTCTACCGATACCGATCTCGCTTTCCGAACGGGTTCTCAGTGAGTACTTCGAAAGAGTCGTCGCTCAGAAGCATCGAGGAGGAAAATCGGTGGTAAACGACGGTGGTGATCGGAGGGGTGAACCGCAAACTTTCGAGGTGAGAAAGAAATCCGTTTATTCGCCTGTTCTGGAACGTCGGTGGTGGCATCGAGAGCGTCCGATAGTGGAAACGAAGGAAAACAGAGCAAAACGGGTCGATGCACAAAGAGGAGCGCAGATTAGAACTGCCGTAGCGGTTGAGTCACGAAGAAAAAAGAAGAAGTCCGAAGATAGAGACCGAGACCTCAACGCGTTGCCGACGGATCAACATGCATTTCCCGCTGCTCGTAATCGAGTGCAAAATTAATTAAACGTGACAAACGTGCGCGTCGATAACGGAGAATCGCGGGGAACGCGAGAAAAGAAGGCGAGAGAAAGTAAGTCGCGCGGAGACGCGGCCCGCGGTTCGAGCGGATCCGCACCGAAACGGAAATGACGTGCTATCACGATAAAATGGTCATTCCAATTAGTCGATGAACTCGGTAAAGCGTGCGTCCTCCGAACGCCCGATAAATCCTTCGATTCCCCTACTGTTCCCGGGATTTTCCTCGTGACCGGAGCTAAACGAAACGATGAACGACGTCATGGGGGAAGCATCCGCTTCGATTTCGAGCAACGACGGTACCTGTGGCGCTGGAGCGAGTAACGCTATCAATAATAATAATAATAACGGTAACAACGGCAAGGCGATAGGCGTGAACGGAGGCGAGAGGATCAGCGCGGCGGTCACCAAGGCTCTTCGGGGATACGACTGGACCGTGGTACCTGTTGCTACCAAGTGAGTTTCCCGTTCAATACTTTCCTTTCTTTCGGCGGGGTTGCGCTTTACGGACTTGCACGTTTTAGATGGGAAAGGGAAAAAGAGAGAAGGGAGAGACAGAGCCGATTATTAAAATTTTCCTGTACAGATCGGTAGACTTGTATGTTTCCTTAAATCTTAATTTTCCAGTACAGATTCTACCAATTTGCTAATGACAAGATCATCAAACTTTAGATTTTCCAATCCACAAAATTAATGTTTGTTAAGCACATCATTCTTTCGGTATCGGATAAGTATCGAGAACTCTGAAATATCAGCAGTATGTGCTCTCCTCAGTCTCCTAATTCACGGCTTCAACAGCAAAGTATCTTTTTATAATTTATTTTAGAACTCACGTTAACCCTTTGCACTCTCGACATCACATTTCTCTTGGATCTTATAAATAATTCAGATAAATAGATTGGTTAAATATATACATTTTTATTTATCTACTATTTATAATAAATGAAAAATGTATTCGTCACATACTTCGCACTGTTGCAATACATTTTACCGAGAACCCCTATCTTGATACATTTTTTGTAAATTAAGGAGTCGGCAGGTAAAAGAAATTGAGAAGTGCAAAGGGTTAAAGTATACTTTACATAATACACTTTAGTCAAAATCGGTTTCTAAAAGCTTGAAATGCACATGTTGCACCGTGAGTACGGCCCTGAAGCGTGGAAGGGAGAGAACGGAGCTTTAAAAATACGTAACGCTAACTTAATTATGACGCACTCGTTTCCTCGGCTTGGGAAACGACGACTCGTGGAAAAATGTCCTCGGTTGCCAATTAACGCAAATTAGCTAATTAATGTCCGATCTCGGCTTCTGTATCTCGTGAGAAACGGAGATCGCAAAGGACGAGCGATAGGAACGCGGTTTTTTTCGTGCGCGAAGAAGGGGACGAATTAATGGCGGTTGCGCCATATCGTTACGATTCGATAAAATCACGCTCCAAGAACGTGACGCAATTCGCGATTCCGGGACAAAAGGAAATTCCTCCGTAATTTCCGGATGGTTGTCGAAAACGGTTGGAGCATCGATGCGTCGCTTATCGCTAACCCTCAATTATGCGGGGTTATCTCGGGGTAGCTAAAGGGTACGATGTTTATTTCCGACGGCCCGATAAAATCGACTGCTTTTAATTCCCATGAAATCCATGAGAATACACCCTGACCGTTGTGTTTGAACGACGGATTTCTTTTATCATCGAAGGTAGCGATCGAGAGAATCGAAATACAAAGAGCATCCGTCGGACGCAGCCACGCCTACGCTGTTGGACCGTCTAAACGAGGTGTAAAGACTCGGAGATTTTTTGCGTATCTAGGTAAACCGCATAGCGGAGTGACTCGCGACTGCCGTGAAAACCGTTGTTAGTGAGCCCGCGCTAATTACCAACGGCTCCTCACCGTTGGTTTACACACGGATTTAACGCCCCTCTTATTTCAAAGAGGCCGAAATACGGCGGGTTTTTCTCGAATTCTTTTATTCGAAGTCGGAAGCCTGGAGCTTCCACTCGGTTCACGGTGCCACGAGGTCCTTCAGCGAGGATCGATTAATCCCAGAAAGAAAACATCACGAGGAGGCTCGTACGGCAATCGCGTCAGCCACGTCAGTCACGTCGATTCCCGGTCTGGACGTGGCAACGGTTTTATGAAGTCATCTTCTAAGAAAGAAAGGGATACGTCCATTCCTGCTCGTCACTCGTTGGCAGCGCCAGTGTTATTTTAAGGTCGGTTTTAAGCGTGCCGCCGGATGACCCAGGGGTAGTTCTACGCGCGGATAACTCGATACGATATCTGGTTATTTTCTTCCGCGAGTCATTCGATCTCTTCAAACCGATTTTTTCTCCGATTTCCCTTCGCTGCGAACAATCGTTTCCAATGAAGATAATGTCCTCGAATTGCAGGGGTTCCGGCGACAAAAGAGCGGCGCACGTTAAAAGGCCGATGAACGCGTTTATGGTGTGGGCTCAGGCTGCCCGACGGATATTGGCCGAACAGCATCCTCAACTCCACAACGCCGAGCTGTCCAAGACTTTGGGGAAAATATGGCGGTGAGTGATCGATATCTTGATCTTACCCCCGTCGATTTCGAGCCTCCAGCTGGGACCGTCCACGCGACCACTTGTTTGCCCGTTCTATTTTTACAGGCGATTTCGCGAGCAGTCTTTTTTACGCGACGCGTATTTACACGCACACCAGTACGATACTCGTGCATGTGTACGCACGGAAATCGAACACGTTTTAACCACGTGGCGCCGAGACTGCACGTGGTACGACCGACCTCGGTTGACAACCGCGTAGCCTTTATTTCTCGCCGTTACGTTCGCCTGTCACCGTGAAAATCTAAGTGTCGCGAGATAAAGAGAATTCGAGATGTACGTTTCGAGAACGATATTCTACATTGGGACTTTAACGAGGTGCCCCGGTGGGTGCCGCGAGCGAGGATCACAGAACGGAACGCCGCATCGAGCAGCACCCCGCCGTGAATCATTTTACGATACCGCTCGATCGCGATCCCGATCCTCGATAGCCTCGCGCGATTGCCGGTAACGTCAAAATAGACTCGCGCCGTGTCTCCACACGAACCGCAACTTTGTTTCGGCTTTCCACTCTTGCAACCGTTACTTCAAACCTGAGGAAAACTACACTTTTAACCCTTTGTTCAACTCTTTATTCCTTCGGGTATTTCTCTTGTGAGGGTAACTTCAAAATTTCTGATTGAAACATTTCAACAACTCTTTATTTCTTTTCTGGTTCGCTGTATGTCCCATGCTCGGTGTAGATCTTGTTAAAAAATATTTATCTGAATTTATCCCCTTGCATTTTGACGAGTCTGACTCGTACTTCGGCCGTGATCAATTTTACTCGAATTTTTAGTACGCTTTAATTTGAAGTTCAAGTCCAATTATAATTTGCATAGTCGATTACATAATAACATACTGACATAACATTTCAAATTCTTTTGTCTGTGTTAATATTGTAGCTGCAATTAGTCAGTTCTGACTGACGTACTTGATAAATAAGGGGTTACTGAACAGGAGTCACTTTGCAAAGGGTTATATTATTAAGCTTGATAGTGTAGCTTTGTTGAAAAAATATTTATCTGAATTTATTGAACAGGAGTCACTTTGCAAAGGGGTAGGTTATTAATCTTGATAGTGTAGATTCAGTTAAAAAATATTTATCTGAATTATTGAACAGGAGTCACTTTGCACAGGGGTAGGTTATTAATCTTGATAGTGTAGATTTGTTTAAAAAATATTTATCTGAATTTATTGAACAGGAGTCACTTTGCGAAGGGGTAGGTTATTAAGCTTGATAGTGTAGATTCATTTAAAAAATATTTATCTGAATTTATTAAACCGAAGTCAGCTTGCAAGTACAAAGGGTTAAAGCGGTAATTATTTAGCACCTATCGACTGTCGGATATTAGCGCTACCGAAAGACCGTTTCCGTCGGCGCGCAATCTTCCTCGGAACAAACCAGTCGAAACTATTATAGAATAATTCTCGGATCATTTGCGGCAAAAAAAGTAATCGCGAGGCGTAGATATCGGCGATATCTGCCAGGAACCAGGTGTAAGATTGGAAATAAATCTTGTCCTCTTTCTTCCGGCTCGAAAGGTATCGTTCGGATATTAGACGCGATGTTTGTCGACGAAAACGAGAGATACGTAAGTATGTATATCCCCGGTTCATCGTTGGCGCGTGCTAACAGCTGCCGGCCGGTTCCCTCGGATAAAGGGCCTCCCCGAGGATCACAATAAACGCCTTGTCCTCGTCAGGTGAATTTTTCCGAACCTGCTTGCCCCTTCGTCTCTCGTCGTCTCCCGTCGGCGTTCGTGCAAATAACGCTCGTGACGAACAGGTAAATGCGCGTTATCCGACGGAAGTCTCCGACTTCCACGTTTCTTTCCGGCGGCTCGATAAGACCGGTAGATTTCGCGTACCGACGGTACTCGCGTGAATTAGCTGACCCTGCGTTGCATCTGGCGAGGAAAAAGGGAACGAAGCTGCGGTCCGCTATCGTCCCTACCGTTCGAAAAAACGTTCAAAGTCCATTGACCAGATGGGCTCCCTCTCTTTCTTCGACTCTCGTTCTCGACGTTGCCTTCGACTGCGGGAACGAGGCGTTCGAAATTCTCGACGGCGATTTCGTTCGTTGGCCTGGCAAAAAGGAAAGCGACGCGAAACGATAAGGGAGACGGAGAATAGAATTATTACCGGAATCGTGGAGAGGAGATCTCGCGGCCAACACCGGAAAAGCTTATCGGTCTTGGGATTTTACGAGCCCAGTGGGAACATAAACACGAGGAATTAAAGGCTAACAGGGGACGAGAGACGCGTATGTATTTATATACCGAGTCGAAAAAGAGAACCGTACCGGTGCGGCTCGCACGCACGATGTGTGCGTGAACGGGCTGCGCCCTTAAGACTCTCCAACGCGGAGAAACACTAACCAGACCTCCCGACTTCGACTGGTCGAGTGTATCGCCGTTAAATACTCCGATGAAAACGCCACGCCGGTTGTTTCACGCGTGTGAACCTCCATCGAGCCTCTCTGATTCCTACAAGGGCATTCCGCATCCGCAGATTGTTGTCGGACAGCGACAAGAAACCGTTCATCGAGGAGGCGGACCGTCTTCGCGTAATCCACAAGCGAGAGCATCCGGACTACAAGTATCAGCCCCGACGGCGAAAGCAGAACGGCCCGGCGGGCAGAGATACTTCGCCCTCGAGGAACCAGAGCAGCGCCAACTTCGTGTCCAGGTCCCTTAAGCAGGAGGACGCCAGCCCGAGGGGTGCGCAAGGGCCGAACTCGCCGCAAAGCGGGATCAGCTTGTCTCCTCCGACCACTCCGAATCACGGACTCTCTCCGCCGACTCCTCCCACGACTCCCCGTGGTCAGCGCTACGCGAATCAGGTAATTGTCGCTCGTTTCGCCGAAAACGATTAAACCGCGTTCGAGGCCTTTCACCTGAGGCGATTTGTTTGCGCTCAGGCCAATCATCAACCGCAGCAGAGCAACGGCGTGTATCCGCAGCAACAACATCAGCAGCAGGACCTCGCGATTGGGTCTTGCGGGTCTCCGCATCAGCAGCAACAGCATCAACAACCCAACGTCGATTTTCGGTATATCGAGGTTAATGAGACCCTGCCGATTGAAGAGGGTCAATTGAACGGTCTTGGGTCCTTGGGAGGGGTTGGAATGAATATTCCTTTGACTCTTCAGGAGTGTGAAGTTGAGAGCAACGAGCTGGACCAGTATCTAAGACCTCAGGTGGCTTCCATGCACGTGCCGCCCTCCACTGGCGCTTCACAGTGGATATTCAACAGGTAACTGCAATATCTCTACTACAACCCCTTGCAATATTATTATACTCGTTACACTTGGTGTGCAAACTGTGTCACACTCATGACATGTTGGTATGCAGACTCGTGTTGATAAAGCAGACTCGTATTTTTATTGCAATTAATTTTCTTTAGTTGCTTCAATGTTGTCGCAATTGTTAGCTAGGTCTGAATATAGAATTGTAGGTAGAGAGGTTAATTCTTTGCAGACCTGTGTTCAGCGTCACTGAATAATTTTATGGATGAAGATAATAATAAGATTTGATTAATATCATACAGTTTATTCTTAATAGTTTTGTCTATACAATCTTTACTTTATCAGGATCAATCTCACATTCAAAATTGTAGCTCTTGTTTTTTATAAATTCATACTTTGCTACATTTACTCTTTCAGTCCATTTCACTGTTATCATCCTGACACTTGTAAATATGTTCTTAGATGCTTGCAAATATATTTTCACACACTTAAATATATTCTTATACACTTGTAAATATTTTTTTTACACTTAAGTATATTCTTATGCACTTGTAAATATATTCTTATACACTTGTACATATATTCTCATACACTTAAATACATTCTCATAAACTTGTACATATATTCTCAGACATTCAAATATATTCTTATAAACTTGTAAATATATTCTCATACACTTAAATATATTCTTATAAACTTGTACATATATCCTCAGACACTTAAATATATTCTTATAAACTTGTACATATATTCTCATACATTTAAATATATTCTTATAAACTTGTACATATATCCTCAGACACTTAAATATATTCTTATAAACTTGTACATATATTCTCATACACTTAAATACATTCTTATAAACTTGTACATATATTTTCATACACTTAAATACATTCTTATAAACTTGTACATATATTTTCATACACTTAAATATATTCTTATAAACTTGTACATACATTCTCATATACTTAAATATATTCTTATAAACTTGTACATATATTCTCATACATTTAAATATATATTTATAATCTTGTACATATATTCTCACACACATTCAGACCAAAATCCAAACGCAAGAAAAGACTGTTCAACGTATGTTACAGATACGACGAGGAGATCGAGAGGCCAACGAAACGACATTGTTCCGAGCAGATCGCGGAGGCATCATGGGAAGACAGGCCAGCCCAGGAGATAGTTCGCTACCACGAACTGCAGCCACCTCTTCCCTCCATGCAGTACATCTCCTCGTCCCACAATCCGCACTACTCGCACGCGACCACGCAGATGAGCCATCCTCACGTGTCCCCGTCGTACGCGCAGTACCAACGTTACGTACCTGGCATCGAAAGCTGGCCTCACTACATGTAGAACCAGGGTTCTGCTCCGTAATCGCTGCCGGCCGAGATCAAACGGTATCGAGTCTCGATCGATGCATCGAGAACGGAGCGATATGTTCCGCTCGCGATCTTACTCCATGACATCATTCCATGACAGCTGGCCATTCCGAGGCGCAGAATTTCAAGCTAAACAAACCGAGGCACCATGTCCAACGTGTAACGCGCGTATAAATGCAATTATAAACTGACCAGTTCGTCGCGCCTCTTCAAATCTCGCGAGAGTCTTCCTGCTGGGAGAAATGTTTTCTCGGAGATCGTGATCTATATTTTACTTCTTTATTATCGTTACTATATCATTATCATTACCATTATTATTACTAGTACTATTAACATTCAAGGCGCGTCGGAGCACCAGCGTACAAGCGACGCTCGTGCTTTTGTACTTATTGTTAGATATTTATTGCGCCTGTAAAAATTGCCGTAGGCGTTCAGACGGCTATGTATACTAAGTTTGTAGGAATAAACGAAGCGTTACTAAAGAAAGTTCACAGTTTTTCTTCGTCCATCCAACCTCCATATTGGACACCCGTCGGACATCGACGGTAAGTACTCATACCTTCCCTTCTCGTTCGCGTTTTCGGATGCATGCACGCTACGAGTCGATTTTATAGAATTTCGAGGTTTATAGAATTTTATAGGTTTCGATTATACTGTATTATTAATTAATACTCGACGGCGGTGAACGACAAACGCGCACGCGCTACGAGTCGCTCCAAAGGTTTCGAGATCGGATGTTGACCGAAATCCGCAGTTATTAAAGCACTCGACGGCGGTGAACAAACGAGTTCGAACGACGAGTCGATCCATCAGTTTGAAAATCGCACACTGATCGAAACCCGCGGTTTTTGAAAAGCTCGACAATGGCGAACATAGGAATAGGACCGCGGGTCGAATGGACCGTTTCCGAGCGCAAACACTCTTATCGCTCGCCCAACAAGGAACGTGGGAATGCGTCGCGACTTTTACGCCACTTATCCGCGTCTCTCGAGATTAAAGATCCACGCGCTCGTTTTTCGAAAACTAGACGCAAAATCCGTGGACAAACATCTCCAGCGTTCCATCTAGAAATAACCGATGGCGTCATCGGTAAAAAAAAAGAAAGAAAAAGCGAACGAAAAGAAAAAGTTGACGAGAGTCAGCGTCGCGAACCTATCGCAGCTGTTTTCGTTCTTCAGCGTCGAGAGTTCTCGATAGAGGGCGATTTCGAGTAGGAAGGAATCTCGAAAAATTCCTTGAAACGATTCCTTGACCCCGGAAGACTCCACAATAGATTTCATTGAGAAAGCATCTTTATCTGACATATTTCGTGTACACCTATTATCGCTTCTAACATCCTTCCGCGAACCGTTTGGAGAAAAAAAATGTCTCCTTGAGTGGTCCGAATTTGTGGACAAAGCAGCATTCAGTTATAAATTATCGGGGCTCGCGATATAATTAATTTCCTCTCCGCTCCGCATCGCGTTAATCACCGGCACGCTTTTAATCTCGGAATTCATAAATATATGGGTCTTGGAACTCTCGCGAAAGCAGGAAGCGATCGTCGGGAAATATTTGAAAAACGGAGCACGCTAGATTCGTGTACGATGTAAATATTTGGGGAAGGGTTCGATAAATTTCGACAGTTCGAGCATTATTCGGGCGGGAGACACGGGGCACAAAGGGTCGTAAATCCTTACGCAGCTGTCCCGATGTCTACTATTATCGCTCGATTACATTTTTCTCGCTATCCATTCATCGGAGACCAGTCCCGAATATCACTACTCCTCCCAAATATCGCTACTCTTCCCGAATATCTTCCCGAATATCGCTACTCTTCCAGAATCACTCGTCGCGTTCTCAGAATCAAATTGTTCCAATCTTTATCGGAATTCCGAGAAATCTGGGCCCCAATTAGCGCCCGATTAGGCCCCTTTCGTATATCGATAAGGATTCTCCGATTTGTCGGAGAACAGGGAGAGAAATCTAATCGATTGGTACACAATGCGGAGCTGGCCACGTGTGAATTTTACCAAGGCTGCATACTCATACTCGATCAGGAGTCTGAATTATAAATCAAACACGAGTAGCGTTTTATCGAAGCGTTACCATGGTAATTATGCGACGGACCGATAAACGGGCCTGATAGTTTTGTGTTGGGTATCTGTAGTTTATCTTGTATGCTAGATTCGATTGCATTCGATTTGAAAATGATCTTCAAGTTTCTTTTTTGTTGAGAGTGAGTTTGATTTTTCGTGGAATGTGGAACATTCTGTGATCGTGGTATAAATTTATGGTAAGTAAACGAGTACTGCGTGATCTGAGATCAGTATGGTGTGATGTTCTTTGATGCGTGGTTACGTTAATAGCTCTTTTTGTGTTACAGACCTGTATGGAAGTGCTGGGATTCTACAGAGAAACGATCTTCGGAGTTTTGTAAAAAATAGACCCCTCTGCGATTTTGATGAACATCAAACTTTGTGACTGCGTTGTAGTTTGAAGTTATAAGTTAGTGCGATGTATGTATATATTTTTGTTCGATGTATTTAAGGAACAGTTTATTGTAATGAAGAACTATTACAATAAACAATTGCAAGAATAATTAATTTCCGGTTACATTAAACTGTTCCTTAAGTCTAAGTACACGAAATTCGCAATAAATAATTATTGTCAATAGTTGTCTATTACGATAAACAATTACAAAAACAATTAGACAACTGTTGTAATAGACAATATTTATTTATTGTAAATTTTGCAATAATTTAAGTAATTTATGTAAGTTGCGTTTTATCAAAATGTAAGTTAAGAAATACATTATAAGTTTATCGTGTTACTGTAATAATAATTATTGTATCATAATTTTTGTATAAATACATGTATGTACACATTGTAGATTTTTAACAAAATGTATAAAGAAGTGTTTTTATAATAAAAAAACGAAAGAAAAGAGAAATTGTGTATTTTTTATTTATTCACCCTTTCATTACCAAATCCTGAAGACCTACATGCCACTTTCGGAACGTTGTTTATTTCAAATTTTAAGAATTTACAAGAATTCATTCTGTAAAAAGAGAAAGGTAGAAAATAAAATTTTGTATCAGGAGAACATAAGTGAGAGGAGGTGGCATGAAGGTTCTCCGAATCGAGATTCTCGAATTTAGTATTTAAGTATCAGGAGAACATAATATGCGAGGAGGTGGCACACATGGTCTCTTGCTCTTATTTTTCGGATTTCTCCTTTTTTCGAACGTGGTATCAGGAGAACATAACTTGGGAGGAGGTAGCACACATGGTTCCTTGTTCTTATTTTTCGGATTTTTTCGTTTTTCGAACGTGGTATCAGGAGAACATAACATGGGAGGAGGTGGCACGAATCCTACTTCTTAGAACTTCTATGACGTCATTTCTAAGAATTCCAAATTTGCCAGATCCAAGTTGCCAATTTTGGAATTTGGTATCAGGAGAACATGATACTTGAGGAGGTGGCACAAGTCCTAATTCTTGGAATTTTGATGACGTCATTTCTAAGAATTATCGAAATCAAGTCGAAAAATCCAGATTCCCGATTCTAGAATTTGGTATCAGGAGAACATAATATTTGAGGAGGTGGCACATCTCGAAACCTTGATGACGTCATTTCCAAGAATTCTAAATTTGAAAGATCCAAGTAGCCAATTTTGGAATTTGGTATCAGGAGAACATAATACTTGAGGAGGTGGCACAAGTCCCAGTTCTTGGAATTTTGATGACGTCATTTCCAAGAATTATCGAAATCAAGTCTAATAATCCAGATTCCCGATTCTAGAATTTGGTATCAGGAGAACATGATACTTGAGGAGGTGGCACAATCCCAATTCTTGGAATTTTGATGACGTCATTTCCAAGAATTATCGAAATCAAGTCTAATAATCCAGATTCCCGATTCTAGAATTTGGTATCAGGAGAACATGATACTTGAGGAGGTGGCACAATCCCAATTCTTGGAATTTTGATGACGTCATTTCCAAGAATTATCGAAATCAAGTCTAATAATCCAGATTCCCGATTCTAGAATTTGGTATCAGGAGAACATGATACTTGAGGAGGTGGCACAATCCCAATTCTTGGAATTTTGATGACGTCATTTCCAAGAATTATCGAAATCAAGTCTAATAATCCAGATTCCCGATTCTAGAATTTGGTATCAGGAGAACATGATACTTGAGGAGGTGGCACAATCCCAATTCTTGGAATTTTGATGACGTCATTTCCAAGAATTATCGAAATCAAGTCTAATAATCCAGATTCCCGATTCTAGAATTTGGTATCAGGAGAACATGATACTTGAGGAGGTGGCACAATCCCAATTCCTGGAATTTTGATGACGTCATTTTTAAGAATTCTAAATTTGCTATATCCAAGTTGCCAATTTTGGAATTTGGTATCAGGAGAACATGATACCTGAGGAGGTGGCACAAGTCCCAATTCTTGGAATTTTGATGACGTCATTTCCAAGAATCATCGAAATAAATTTACGATACGCAAGTTGCAGACTTTGAAATTTTGTATCCGGAGAATATAAGTAGCGAGGAGGTAACGCAAGTGTTTTATGCAATTTTTTTTTTCGTGGGATCGTGGGTGGGGTTTTTAAATGAACAAACAGTAAATTCCTTTAACTTACGTTTATTGAGACTCAATAATATACAAGTACAAGGTTTTTCTTACAATATTCTTACATAATTATTAATGTATACGCATCTTACAATACTTAAATAACAATACATCTTACAATACTAAACTTACAATACTTAAATACAATAAAAATATATACATAACGACTTATTAATTATTTTCTTGACGTCCATTTGCCAAAGTCGATGCGAGATCCACGTCGCAGGTCCTCCAATGAAGCTCCTTCAACTCTGTAATCCAACAAAGTAGAAAATTGTTAATGAACTAACGTAATAATCCGTAAAAAGCCGTTAGCGTATGATCATAAAGTCTGTAAATGCTTACCGTAATCTTGATTGCCTCGAAGAAAAGTGCGCGCAGCATGCCGCGGTCTTGTTTCGTCGAAGTCTTATGAAAGACTGATGGACAGCTGCGTCGTTTTTAACTTATCTCGTCTCAAATTTTCGACTTCGATTTTAATTGCGTTCTGTATTGGATTTTGTTTTGGATCCTCCGTTGATCCATCAAATGTGTTGTGAAGAATCCTTGAGACAAACCTGGAACATTTAATTCAAATCACTTCAATAATTTAGTAGAAACAATCTCTTTTTCATCTAAGCATAAAATAATATGTGCATGTAAAATGATTCTTTGTTATCCAGTATCGAAAGAAATAAAATTTGAAAGTAATTACTCATTGTAAAATACACTACCATTCTTCCTAGAAACATATATTTTTTTTTATTTGAAGCTGATTTAAACCCCTGCGAGTTATAAAGGAAATTCATAAAAACATAAAGCAAAATTATAGATTGGAAATATTAATGAATGTTACTGAACATTACTGAATTGCATGAGAGAAGAAAATGAAAGGCAACATCAACTAAATCATGAAAATTATGCAACGTGGAGACTTACGGACTCGGGAAATGTGATAGCAACAGGTAGAGATACGGTGGTAGAAGAATAAACGTGGAGCCACGGGCAGGAGCTCCTCTCTCCTCGAACGTCAAACAAAGACTGATGTATTAAAGGTCGAATGCTATCTACCTTCCCCACTGTGTTACTCAGATACAAAATTTTCATTCGCGACTAGTTGCATTAATATTTGTGACAGTGATATTATTTCCATTACACAATTGTATTCTTACTCTACATCTACAGTTTGAAGAATTTACATTTAGAGAGTTCTATATATTTAATTACTTTTAGATTGATGCAGTGAGTTACAATTTATTTTATCCTATTTTTAATTCTTCTTATATTATTCTACTTTTGATTCTTCTTGTTATCCTATTTTTAATTTATGCTATTCTCTTTTAACTAACATTATTTGAATTGTAAATGTTAAGGATACAGGGATGTTCAATGTTGAATGCATGGAAATATATTTTTCTTTTAAAATATTGCCAATAGATAAGTATTAATTATGATTCGAAATTAAAATCATTCAAAAGATTCAAACACTGGCGCCAGTTCTGTCAGCAGTTATCGACTGAAGATTGCGAATCTATTTTTAATAAATGGCGTTGTGTCTCAATAATTAAACGCCATAGCAACAACCAATTTAAGGTATTACAGTTTCATACTTCTTAATTTTAATTAATTATTAAACAAAGCTTCATGTATCTTCAGTCCCTTGAAGACGCTCCGATTAGTTCGAGCGCCCACTCACAGATGGCAGTTTCGACCCATCAATAAAAACTTCAAAATCAAAAAAGAAATGTTTTATAACTTAAGAACAAAGGACCAATAAAAACGAGTACCGAATTAAATTAATTTACTGTACTGTAAAATTATTAAAGTGGTTAAAATTAATAAGGAATTATCGAGACGGCTTTCCGTTACTCAGAGATGTCACAGTATTTCCGAACTTCCTGGTCATTGAACTCGGTTCAATGCCTCTTTTCGCTTTGATAAATTTAGCGAACTTATCAGTCAGCAAGATGATTTTCGATCTGACAATCCAAGGTTTCGAAACTATACCGAAATTCGTGAAGAGAAAAAGAAGGATAAAATTCCAAAGTCAATATGACAGAAGGAAATAATTGGCAAGGTAAATAGTTTGCAAGGTAAAAAATTTAAAAGGTAAATAGTTTGCAAGGTAAAAAGCTTACAAAGTAAATATTTTGCAAGGTAAATAATTTGCAAGGTGAAAAGCTTACAAGGAAAATATTTCGCAAGGTAAATAATTTGCAAGGTGAAAAGCTTACAAAGTAAATATTTTGCAAGGTAAATAGTTTGCAAGGTAAAAAGCTTACAAGGAAAATATTTCGCAAGGTAAATAATTTGCAAGGTAAAAAGCTTGCAAGGAAAATATTTCGCAAGGTAAATAATTTGCAAGGTAAAAAGCTTACAAGGAAAATATTTCGCAAGCTAAATAATCTGCAAGTGAAATAATTTGCAAGCACAAAACTCGGAACGAAAGAAAACTCTGCGACAAAGACGCTCTCACTTCGAAGACCGAACAAAGACTGAGACCCGCACCGCTTGTTTTTACTCGATAAACCCGACTTTCCACCGCTCCATAACTTCCTAACAAGCCACAATTGAAACTATCCCGTCAAAATTTATCGCGACTGACATTAACGGCGTGAGAATCATAAAAGTCAAAACTTGAAGGTTTTGATCGCCAGCGAATCAATAGCAAAAACGATCGAGTTTTCCAAGCGTAAAGTCTTTCGACGAAACCGGAGCGTCTCGGCGATACGTTTCCCTGATGCCTGTTAATTGCCAGAGCGGCGAGCAAAGATAATTGGCATTTGGCAGAGAGTGATTCGCGATACGAGGCAACGGGTAACTTCTCGGAAAGAATCCTTCTGTTTGTACGTTTTTCGTCTTCAATTCGACGCTGGTCTGCGTACAACGATCGTAGATAGGTCGCGACGCCGCACGTTCTCCTTCTTTCTCTTCTTTCGCTCCACCTTTCAAGGTCTCCGTTCTTTTTGCGATTCGCAACCCTTCGCGATAATAGCCGACTTCTATAATTAGTTTGCATCCTTGGAAAGCGAGGAAAAATTGAGATCACGGTCGGTGCGATTAGCGAGGGTGAGAAGGGGTGATAGGGCATCCTCCTTACTCACCTGATTTGGCTCCATGCGACTTTTTATTTCCTAAAGTTCATTTTTGCTTAAAGGGAACGCATTTCAGCTCACTCGAAGAGGTTCAGAAACGGAGAATCTCTCTAAGGGCTTCCAAAAACCTCGTTCCAGAATTGTTACCAGCAGCAGAATGTAGAAGTGTGCGAATGTAGAAGGGGACTACTTTGAAGGTGGTAATATCACGGAGAACTGACTCTGAAGATACAATGATTTATTGAACTAGCCTCGTTTTTTTTGTGTCACACCTCGTATCTCTGTTTCGATTACGTCGAGTCCGTTAGTCGGTGACGAAGGATCGACGTGTAACTCGAGGGTTCTGCGTCGAGCACTCTTCTGAGACTCTCGAACGTGGTTCACCAACTGGGAATAACCCCTCGTTATCGAACGACGATTAAGATACCGGGGTCTGGCGGACGGAGAGAATCGTTCAAGTTGAAACGTCTGTGTCTATTCTGTTACGTCAAGGGCAAAGGGAGATAACGTTTCTTCGGTTTCGCGGGTTCGTTTCGAACGGAAGGATTTCAGTCTATCGAAAGTTGTCGGATAAAAAAAGAATCGCGATAACGGAGAGATAAACCGGTCCCTCTGCTCGCCTACTGCCGACTGAGACTAATTGCGAATCCGATTACGATGTCCTCGGTTATTATTGTAATTAGCAACTGCATCGATACCACCCCGATCGACCAACGCAACGACCACCTTTAGTCGGAGACCGATCTCGAGGAAAACTAACAGAGGAGCTTTTGCGAAAGCTGGCGGAAAAAGCACCGGTTATCGTCGAACGATTCGATCGAATCGATTCCGAGCGGCTCGGAGGCTGACCACCCGCGCTCGTGTTGGTCGCGAGCCTGAGGGAGGGAAGAGAGCGGAGCGAACGGAAAGAGGTAGAGAGGAAAGGAGTCGGGACTTTTTCCTCGCTTACACATGTGGTTAGCGGCGATTCGGGTCCAATCAGGGCCGCAATCATGTTTCAGTAGATCCTACTATCGGCACAATTTTATTTTTTTCTACCTCTTATTATTAATACTTTTGCCGAATTATTTTTAGAAATTTACTACTACTTTACTAATTATCGTTCCTCTCAATCAAATACAATTTTTTTGGAAATTTCTTTAGAATCCGTTCGATAATTAATATTCGATACAGCAGTGTTTTGAGGCTCTCAGAAGTGCAAGATGTATTGAATCAGATCTTTACTACTACTTTACAAATTATCGTTCCTCTCAATCAATTACAATTTATTTGGAATCTGTTTGATAATTAATATTCGATACAGCAGTGTTCTGAAGCTCTCAGAAGCGTAAGATGTACTGAATCAAATCTGTTGCGCACATGTACGCATGCGCAGAAATGCTATGGTGGTAAGACACCCCGATCGAGAAAATGGGATCAGCGCCATCTAGCGGTGGGCGTTTCGCCGCTACTCCTGGTAGCAGGAGCGCAGAAAAGTAAAGGAGGTATTCGATAAAAGTAGGTATACTGCGCATGCGCGTCGAGGAGGGTACGCCTGCGCGGTAACTGGTCCGCGCATGCACAGTAATGGCTGCGCGCATGCGCAGTAAGAGCTACACGCATGCGCATTGACCACACCTTTTCCATAATGGCGTCGCATCAATAAATAAATACCTACTATGCAAAATGCCTAATTACTAATTACCCGCAAATAATATACACACTTTTATGATCGTCAAATATAATTACATGCCTCTGCAATTTTCTAGTGCAAAAATTATGAAGATCTTGTACGAGAATGTACTATAAAATATTAAACAAGAATAAATTAAATAATTAATTATATTTGCTGAAAATGTTGACAAATTTGGTACGAGATTATAGATAAGGAACCACTGATCATTCTTTGATCATAAAAGTGCACAAATTGTATTCCAAAAACGAGAAATTAATTATTGTATACCGGTGTCGTTTGTAGCAGTGACGTGCCGCCATGTTGGAAAGGTGGCGTCGCCCCACCTCTCGCGCATGCGCGCAGCTGCGCGGGAGACCTACTGCTCCGGATACCTCCTTTACCTTTCTGTTATCCTGCTACCAGGAGTAGATTCCGAACGCTAACCGCAAGATGGCGTTGGCCAAATTTTTTCGAGATGAATCTTTTATTCGTGTGATGGTCCAGGGGAGTAATTTTTTTTCTAGTGACAATAATTGAAAATTTATTAATGTAAAATAAGGGCTTTTGCTCCTAATAAATGATTGTACTTGCAATGATAAATAAATAATAAATTATACATATAATTTCTTTTTAATACTAAAACTACCAAACCGGTCCACAAGTTTTTTATTATAAGATACCCATTTTTTAAAAGTACATTCCTTGAAATCAGCATTGATTTTCATCAAGATAAAGAATAAAAGTACTATTTATGTTTCGTCGTTTATTTATTCCTAATTTCAAATTCAGTACACATTATATGCCGGTAGGTTTAGCGTTAATAAATATACAAATAAAGTACATGCAATAGCCCACAATTTTTCCTACAGTATTTTATTTTTCTAAACAGAAGTATTAGTTTTGTCGAGTGATGAGCTCGAGTGTTGAAGCTCGAGCAATAGTAATCTTGAATGCAGCCCTGAGTTCGATAAAAGCTCGGCCCGTAGCTCGCGGGACGAAGAAAAGGATCAACGACGCGCTGACGGAAGAGCAGAGAAAAAGAGGGAGATAGCGGTCTCGGACAAGTTGAGCGAATCGCGTGTGCGATGGTGCGCACATCCGCGCTACGAAAGAACGAGACCGAGCTGGAGCGTGTGCCGAGCCGAGCCGCGTACGCACGTGCATCTCCCTACCAAACAAACCTTTTTTCTCCTGCGAATCTTCGTTCAAACTTTTCCCGCGTTGGAGGCCAAGATTCGTTCAAACTTTTCCCGTGTCAGATGGCAAGGTTTACTTCAAACTTTTCCCGCGTCAGACTCTACGAAAACAAAACACAAGCGGAGAGATTTAGTAACCCTTGACACGACCGTGAAAAGTTCACGCGCGAGTGGAAGGGTCGAGAGGGTTAGATTTACGAGTTTTCCAGAAAATCGGTCAGACGTTTTTACGAGAAGAGGTTCGATAACGAAAGAAACACGATTCGACCTGGCAGTTTCCTAGCGCTTTTTAATTGTTTACGTACGGGTTTAACGATCTCCGAAAATTTCTCGAGGTGCTTGAGGGTACGAAGAAAAACGATCTTACAAGGCACGCGCTGCGGGTCACCGGATCGATCGTAAAACGCGAACGACGTGTTTCGTCTAATAGCTGAAACTGTCGCCTCGATAAATTCCACCAGTCCTGTCAAAATAACGCGTAGCCGGCTCCGTCGCGCAATTTGCCAACGGACGACACTCATTGGATCCCGCTTTTCAGAAATTAATTCAGGTTTCGAACTGTAAGCAAACGAAAGGCTTCGTGGAACGTGGCTTCCGAGAGAAAACTCGATTGAAGAGGAACTAGAGGTTCGCGTGGAGAGGGTCAGAAGTGATCCTCGACGAGGGTCCGTTGTAGACGACTAAAGTCTAAAGTTTCTCCCTTTCGTCCGGCTGCGTTCCCTCAAAGATTCGTGGCTGCCGTTTGGTTTTTCTTACGTTCGGTTCGTTTGACACTCGATAGCGCTCGAGCGTGCATAGTTGCGCGTTCTGGGTTCGCGCGAGATCTCGATGCTAGTCATCTTTTCTACTCTTCTTCTTTTGCCTCTTCTGCTTCTTCGGTTTTTACTTCTGCTTCTTCTTTCTCTTGTTCGCTTCGACTCCTCTACGAGCCGTGCTGTTTCTTGCCGCTGCTCCTCCGATACCATCTTTCCCGTTTGATAAATCGTTACCGGAAATTCCAGCAAAAAGCGTATCGCTCGTTCGCGCTCTAGATGCTTAATTGGCGGGCGACCAGCGTCCGTTTTCTCGAGGAGGACCAACTCGATGCCTGGTGCATTTTTCCTTTCCTC